CCTCTGGGTGTGCAGAGCCCTGGTGTAAATGCAGTTGCCTCTGGGTGTGCAGAGCCCTGGTTATCAAGTGCTTCCCTATGGGGTGTGCATCTGCTCTCCCAGGAGCAGGACTAGACGCTCGCTGTGGGGTTCCACAGCTCTGTGGCACAGGTGCAGGATTATGCTCTGCAGCTCTCAGCCTGCCCCACCACGTCCCCTTCCTCACAGCAGGACAAGTCCCCCTCCCTTCCCTGCCCCCTCCTCTCTCAGGCCTGTTCTGACAGGCAGGACAAACTTGAGGACAAACATTCTGCTCTTGGGCCCCAACATCCTCTCGGTTTTGCTTGAAAGAAACCCACAGTTTTCTGCTGAAAATGAATGGAGAACTGGGCCACGAGTTTTAATTACAGCCTTCTGGCCGTTCCCGGGTTTATTCAAGTTTGCTTACCACGAGGAAAACTGTTTCAGCACTCGGGCCCCCACGATGCTATTTGTTCGTCTCTGTTTGGCTGTGCCTTTGTGGCCCAGGCTCCCCCTGAAAGGCGGCTCTGAGCCCCTCTGGGCAAGCAGGGCCCCGTCACAGAGCTGGGATGGGACTTACCCTGGGCCCATGAATAACTGCTGTACACCTAACAATCTCTTCAAAGCACCCCCATGATAGTGAAGTTCAGGTATTTTTGCAACAATTTGTGCTTTGTGTGAAATTGTGACAGATAAAAGCCGTGGTGAATACAGCGTTATGTACTCCTATTTTTATATTTCTTAAAACATCATTAAGGCAGCAGGCATGATTTTAAACCAAGACAGTCATTCAATGAGTGGTGGAAAAATCACTAGGGACACTGTACTGTGTCTGCTTCCCTGTCATTATGTGTGAAGTGGCAAGTCGGGGCTGTGAAGCAGGTTATGCGCCTTCAAAGGCAGACACGGACACTGATTGAACGGGATCCTTGCGTTGGCCCAACACACACGGACGCTCCGGGAGAAATGAGTGCCCGCCGAGCACCTTTCGGTCGGTGATATTTTGTAGACCCAGAGTCACAGAGTTTAGGAACTCAGAATCCCAAATTTCGATCCTGGCCCCTGAGCCAGTGTGGTGTGATAACTACAGTGAGTGAGCTGGCAGATGTGTGCCAGGCGTCAGCCACCCATGCTGTGCCCAGGCTCACACATGACCAGAGTCAGCGCACACCTGGCACTGCCTCCTCCTGGAGGCCCGCACACGTGTACAATAAACTGCTCATCTCATCTGAACCCTATGAGGTGGGAACCATTGTTATCATCTGTGGGAAGTGGAAAAGTTCCGCTTCAAAGTTTCCCTTCTTGTTAAAGAATAATAATAGTAATAAATGCTAGAAGTAATAGTCTCTTTCAAAGACTTTCTTCAAAGCCTTCTTGCTTTTTACCAGTGACCCTTTGTTAAGCCTTATCCTATGTAGCTGTTAGACATAAAAGAATAAGTACATTCTATATCCTTGTGCTTTAACTAAGATATTTATGCTAGACATGCTCACAGGCATGTAGTACATTCTATGTCCTTGTACTTTGCCCAAGATATTTATGTATTACTTTTCTAAGTCCTTTCAAAAGCAACTTCCTGTTCCTTCCTTATTTAGACTTCCTCTTTTCCTTTTGTTCTCCATGGCTTTTACCTGTTTAGAAACGTTAGTTGTTAGCCAACCAAGTTTAAGGTTAGATTGTGAAGTCTAGCTCCAACCAGCAGAAATCAGACGCAGCAGTAAAGATGACCCCAAATGCATAAAACACAAATATGTCTGCTTTTCCTTTGTTCGCTGCACTCTTGTAGCAAGAGAGCTAACGGAGCAACCTTTTGGCAGAAAGCAAAATTGCCTTGGTGAGAGATCCTTTGTCTCAGTGCTGACTTTTCTTTGCAGGAGCATCTGTTTCCAACATCATCCCTGTTTGCAGATGAGGAAACTGGGGCTTGCAGACATTAAGTGGCAGCCTGGTTCACGTAGGTCCAGTGTGGCAGAAGCAGGACTGAGGCCAGGCTGAGGGCTACCGAGTCTGTCGTGGCAGTTGAGGCAGCCTCCATGGGTTCCCTCATCTATTCTCACCACGAGTGTGAGGGGCCAGCCCCAGGGCCTCTGCTTCAGAGCTGAGAACCAAGGCCCCAGCGACGAGTACAGCTAGTGCTCGACTTACGACCACGATTGGTTCCGACAGACCAGTCGTAACACGATTTGGTCGTAAGTTGAGTAGGCTATATGCACGCGGAGATGGTAGTGCTGCCGGAAGCTGGTCCGCACTGTCGTACACCCAGCTGGGCAACGTTTGTGCTGCCAGACGCGGAGCAGTCGTGGCTAGCGATTGTGGTCGTAAAGTCGAATGGTTGTAAGTTGCATAGGTTGTAAATCGATCAATACCTGTATGTGGTTATGTTACAGTGGGGAGCGAGTCAGGCCTGAGCAGGGAGGAGAGGGCTCCTTCCAATAAACATACACACACACACACCAGGAGTGTCAGGTGACCATCCCGTGATGGACAGGTGGTAGCTTACTGTCTCTCTATAATGGTAATTGGTCACAGCCAGCACCAGGGAAAGACAGTCTCCCAATAAACAGAAACACCGGAAGCTGGTGATCAGCAGCTTCCCAATAATATCTCAGGAGTTGGGGGAGTGGGCTCAACCATGTGTATTAAGAGGCAAAATGGTGGAGTTTAACTGGTCTATGACCTTCCAGGGACATTTGATTGGTAAGGAAGAATGTCTCAAGCGAGCATGAGCACGACTCCCCAAAACACACTGCATGCTCCCTCCCAAGTGCCAGCAGGCCACTGTGCATGTGAACAGCCCACTGCAAGGGAAGAATCAGGGGAGAAGGGATGCAGGACCCTGGAAGAATGCCATCGTATAAAACCCAAGCTGGAGTACAGTGGCACAATCTTGGCTGACTGACTGCAACCTCTGCCTCCCAGGCTCAAGCAATTCTCCTGCCTCACCTTCCAAGTAGCTGGGCTTATAGGTGTGAGCCACCACATCTGGCTAATTTTCGTATTTTTAGTAGAGATGGGGTTTCACCATGTTGGCTAGGCTGGTCTTGAACTCCTAATCTCAAGTGATCCGCCCGCCTCGGCCTCCCAAAGTGCTGGGATTACAAGTGTAAGCCACCGTGCCTGGCCAGTGTACTTGTCTTTCAAGTTGCCCACCCAGCTCTCCTCCGAGTATCCTTTCCTTCCTTTCATTCCTGCTCTAAAACTTTCTAATAAACATTCACTCCTGCTCTAAAACTTGCCGAGCTTGGCCTCTCCTTCTGCCATCTGTCTCCTTGGTCGAATTCTTTCTTCTGAAGAGGCAAGAACTGAGGTTGCTGCCAACCTATGTGTATTTGCTGCCACAAACATACTTCGGTGCTGCATGACTTGGATATGTGCTGCTAACAGTTAGGACCGATCTTTGAATCCCCGAGGCTTCACTTGTGTCCTTCACGGGCTATCACTTCTATGTCAGACAAAGCACCAGACCTCCCGCCCTTCGTCCTGCTGAATGTGGGGGTGACTCGCATTTGTGGGCACTTTGTTTTGGTGTTGCCACTAGGATTTTACTTTTTGGAGTGATCAGGGACCATCTGTACACTGCTGTGGGAATGTAAACTAGTACAACCACGATGGAAACAGTGTGAGATCCCTTAAAGAACTAAAAGTAGAACTACCATTTGGTCCAGCAATGCCACTACTGTATCTACCCAGAATAAAAGAAGTCATTATTCAAAAAAGATGCTTGCACACACATGTTTATAGCAGCACAATTCACAATTGCAAGATTGTGGAACCAACCCAAATGCCCATCTATCAATGAGTAGATAAAGAAACTGTGGTGTATATACACATACATAGATACATATATATATGTGTGTATATATACCATATATATATATATGATGGAATACTACTCAGCCATAAAAAGGAATGAATTAACAGCATTTGCAGTGACCTGGATGAGATTGGAGACTATTACTCTAAGTGAAGTAACTCAGGAATGGAAAACCAGACGTTGTGTGTTCTCACTGATATGTGGGAGCTAAGCTAGGAGGACGCGAAGGCATAAGAATGATACAGTGGACTTTGGGGATTTGGGGGAAGAGTGGGAGGGGGCAAGGAATAAACATGACAAGTAGGGTGCAGTGCATACTGCTGGGGTGATGGGCGCACCAAAATCTCACGAATCACCACTAACAAACTTGCTCATGTAACCAAATGCCACCTGTACCCCAATAACTGATGGCAAAACAAAATTCAAATGAATCAAAATCTCAAGTCTCAAGTCAATTCACAGGTTAAGTATAGCACCTGCTAGTGGACTCGAGAAGCTAGTCTATTTCACAGCCGAGCCGAGAAGACCAGCTGCTGAGGAGAAACGCCAAGCCGGGAATTTGCCCGAGCTTTCATCAGTGAGGCAGACAAAATGTGACAGCATCAAGGAACTCTCTCCTCTTCTCATTTCATCTTTGATTTTAAAAAAACGTTGAATAAAATCAGCTCTCTGGTAGATCACAGCCAAGTATTAAGTGATTCTCCAGCTTAAACATTCTGTGCTTCTACAAAAAAGCTTGTGCATAAAATGCACATTCAAAGGGCCTCTGAGCCGGGAACCCTGGGTTCTAGTCGGTGTGCGGGAGAAAATCACGGCAGGAGGGAAATTCAGCAGAAAACACAAGGCGTGCTTAAGGGCCGCTGGAAATGGAGCTCCGCCCTGTGCAGTGAGCAGATCTATACTGATGCCGGCTGGGCACCATACCCTCTGCCAGAGCAGCAAGGGCACGAAGAGGAACAGGGAGGGGTCCTCCCGAGCAGGGTCACTCCAACCGGGAAATGCACCCAGTCAGGGCGGTAGCACCAGGTGGTGTTGACAACAGCACGTGCTTGGAAGTTGGGGGGAAAAATCCCTGCCTGCGTGTATGGGGG